TCACACTCACACACTCTCACACATACACATTCATGCTCATACAATCACACTCATGCACTCACACATTCATTCTCTCACACTCACACACATATACACTTATGGTCACACAATCTTAAACACTCACACTATTATCTCACACTCATACACTTTCATGCTCATGCTCACACAATCATACCCACATTCTCTCATACTCACACACTCATGCTCACCCAATTATACACACTCACACATTCATTCTCTCACACTCATACACTCACACACACAACACACTCATGCTCACACAATCACACTCACATCCACACTCACACACTCTCCCCTGGAGGAGGCAATGGAACAAGGACCTCCTACCAGGAAAGCAAGGCCAGGAGTGACCGGAAAGGTGGCCGGTGGGGTTGGTCAGGCCCAGCCTACCGAGGAGAGCAGCGCCGAGTGCCTGGCGGCATGTAACCCCCTATCAGCACGCAGTGGGTCTTTGAGACCTCAGTTCTGGTCAGGGGACGAGGAAGGGGGACAGCAAGGAAGCTTGAGAGCCAGGGGACTTGGAGCCGTGATTGGGGAGGGAATTGCTTCTTCAGCCCACAGCTGTGTTTGCGTGGATCCTGGGAGTCAGTGCCCGTGGCAGATGGACGTGCCTACACCTTGGGGGCCAGAGGAAGGAAAGAGGGGGGCAGTGGGGTGGAAGGCAGGCAGGCAGGCTCCCAGCCAGGACTCAGGCGGTGAGCTTGGTGGGGTCTGATTCTCTCCAGGTCCTGGGGGACCCAGGACTGCCAGCCCAGTTGGGTGGCACCTCTGAGACTGGCCAGGGCACAGGGTCCCATAACAGTGATGGGCTGTGCCAGGGGGCTGTGGAAGCTCCCCCAGGAAAGAGCCCAGAGATGGGCAGCCCAGAAAGCGGGTGCATAAAGGGTCAAACCCCTCTTCTCCTGAGGGAGCTCCAGGGAAGTTAAGACCCTTCCCAAGGTCACTAAGCAAGATGGCCGGCTGGGCTTGGCTGGAAAGGCCGCTGGCAAAGTCCTTATCGAAAGTCTGGCTCAAGGACAGATAAGATCTCTGGGCCCCAGATCCAGTCCCGAGCAGCTGCCCCTTCTCAGGTTGCACTTGACCCCCCAGTCCAAGCCAGGAGGAACACGCCTCCCTGGACGCCCTGTGCTCACTCATGTAGGCCCCTTAACAAAGTCCAATCTAAAGAGTTGTACTGCCTTAATGGCCCACAGCAGAAATAGCTGGGAGTTCATTAAACCCGTGGAGTTGCTATAGCAATTATCTGGGTTGGCTGAGCCACTGGGTGGGTTGGTCCTGGGAGTTCATTAGCCCCTGGCCATGGAGGGGGTGGGGCTCCCCAGTAATGATCTCCCACCTTCTCACGGGGCTTGGGCACTTCAAAGCACTTTCCCGTGAATGGAGTCTGGTCTATGGACTCCTTTGATCCTTGGCACTGCATTCTAGCAAGACCCATTTTACAGATGGAGACGCTGAGCCCTAGGAGTGAAGAATGCGTTGGAACCACTGGCGCCAAGTTTTCAAGCTCTTCCTGAGCTGGCTCCCATCTTTGTCCTCTGGTATCACCCGGTCGATTTATTATTGATATGAATTTTCTTTCCAGGAGTCACACCTGGCAGTGTTCGATGCTTAGTCCTGGCTCTGTGCTCAGAGGTTGCTCCCAGCAGTGCTTAGGGACTGTATACTTGTACATGCCATGGGGATGAGCCAGGATGGGTTACACACAAGGCCGGCACCTTAACCCCTGTACTATCGCTTGGGCCCTTTTTTCAATTCTTTTCTAAGTAATATTGATTTATGATGCTATATAGGTTTCTGGGGATATGGCCTTAGAAATCAACATCAGTGTATGCTACATTTTGTTTGTCACCAGAGTCTAGTTTCCACCTATCACCATATTACTTTTTTTTTTTTTTTTGCTTTTTTGGGTCACACTCGGCGATGCACAGGGGTTACTCCTGGCTCTTCACTCAGGAATTACTCCTGACGGTGTTCAGGGGACCATATGGGATGCTGGGAAGCGAAACCAGGTTGGCCGCATGCAAAGCAAACGCCCTACCCGCTGTGCTATCGCTCCAGCCCCACACCATATTACATTTTAGCACCCAAAAGGAGAGAGAGAACAAAAGGGAATGCCCTCCCACAGAGGCAGGGTGGGATGGGGGGGATGAGGGGTGGGAGGGATACTGGGATCAGTGGTGGTGGAGAATGGGCACTGGTGGAGGGATAGGTACTCGATCATTGTATAACTGAAACCCAAGCACAAAAACTCATTAAGTCTACAACTGTACCTCATGGTGTTTCACTAGTAAAAATTAAAAAAAAAAAAAAACAGACAATTTTCTACTGTGGTACCTTCTCCCCATGCAAGGTGTCGGTTTCTGAAGAACCTGGCTGGTGCAGGAGCAAAGCACATGCCTCGCCTACCCAAGACCTGGGTCCATCCCTAAAACTGCCTGACCCACCTCTCCCTACCCCCAGCACTACCAAGAATAGCCCACACAGCAATAAGGGACGGTGGGGGGAGGGGAGGGGGGAATGTGAATAACAAGGTTGAGCTTTGTGGCATCTCCACGGCCCAGCCTGGAGCATCGAACGTGAGCTCCGAGCTCTAAACCCAGCCAAGGCTGTGAAAGCGGGCAAGGTTCCTCCCCCCCTGTGTGCATACCCACTATACTCACATCAGAGCGAATAATCCCATCAACAGCCATGATCCAGAGACTCCATATAAATCTCTCGGAAGAGAGCATAAGATGACTCTCCATAGTCATGCCAAAGGACCCTGCGCTAGGCTGTTTCACTTGGGGCAACCCAGAAAGGGGCAGATAAGGGCCCCTCCCTGCCCCAAGGGACCCATCACCAGCCCCCAAAAACCTCCAGAACTCAACCTCCACCATGCTCATGGCCGTTCTCCACATGTTCGGGCCAACCGTCACCCGTGAGTGAATCTATTCCTGGACATCTCATGTTCCCTCATATTCCAAGAGTAGTGCACCACATTTGATGGGCTGGAGCGATAGCACAGCGGGTAGGGCGTTCGCCTTACACGCGGCCAACATGGCCGACCCAAGTTTGATTCCTCCGCCCCTCTCGGAGAGCCCGGCAAGCTACCGAGAGTATTCGATATGCCAGACACAGTAACAACAAAGTCTCCAATGGAGACGTTACTGGGCCCGCTCGAGCAAATCGACGATCAACGGGAGGGCCTTTACCTTTACCTTTAAAGAAGAAAGCAACCAATCTTAGAGGGAAATATATTTTTATAGATTACATATATCATATATACGTATATATAAATACATATGCACACAAGGCTCAACCTTTAACAACGTGTTAGTGATCTCTTATACAAAGATTTAATCGTCCCTGGGTGTAATGCAAGAATCTTCACAAACTTTCCTCTAAGGAAACTTTTTTGGAGCATTTTTTTCAGCAGTTTATTCATAACAAACAATACAAAATAAATTACTTTGGTTCTGCTTTCGGGCAGGGATGGGGGTTTGGGATGGAAATGTGGTGGTGGGAAGGTATAATGATGGTGAGATTTCATTTTGAATATTAACTGTAATCAAATATTGTGAACAGCTTTATAAAAGTAAAATAAAATAAAATTTAAAAAATATCAGAGTGGCGCATATGCTGCCGGAGCCCATGTGCTGCTTGTGCCCACGTGGCCGAGCACATGTGGTGCCCAAGCACATGTGTCGCCCATTATCTTCCCTCTTTAGATGTGTACTTGCATGCTTTCATGTCTAATGCTGGGCTGTGTGTAAGGGGCTCTCTCCACCTTGGAGAAGCCCGGGTTCTCTCATAAGTGGTTACTCTCCACTCTCTCCCACTTTCGCTCTCTCCTCCCCTTCAAAATCTCCAAATATTATCTGTTTACTTAAAAAAAAAATCAGAGTGGAGGTAACCCTAACCCACCTAAAGGCCACAACACCTAAGGGCAAGAGTAGCAGAAACTTTGGGTTTTGTTTTTTTCATTTTGTTTTTTTTTTTTTTTTACAGCCACAGTCAGCAGTGCTGTGGGATTGCTCCTGGCAATACTCAGGGACCTTGTGGTGCCAAGGCTGGAACCCAGGCCTCAGGCATGCACTGATGCTGGTGTGCTGTTGCACCCCATCCTAGCAGGAATCTTGAGCCTTTCTTTATACCAGGGATGGTAGGCTGGTGAGGCCTCTGTACCCCTCTCTGAATAAATGTTTCTAAATGCAGAAAACAAAATTTATAGGATTACAGAGGGGTTGTACCAACAGAAGATGGCAAAAATATTTTTAAAAGAGTGATCGAGGAACAGATGTGCTTTCTAGCTCATGAGTCACCAAACAAGACCTATCAGTGGGTCAATTAAACCTCATCATTTTGAATCACTGAGGCGCATAAACAAGTTTAAGGTCCCTTAACTGTCACGTGGAGAGACCATGTCTGGATTTATATTGGTGACCAGAGTCTCAGCACTGCCTGGGGGCTGGTCTGCAGCCTACATTCACCACAGAAGGAGACTCCAGTCCCAGTGCGAGGTTCATGGTCCCCAGCCACGGTCACAGAATCACTTCCTATCCACTGACACTTGGGGGATGGGGGAATTAAGTCCCAGGATGAAAATCTTGAGCTGGTGAGGATGTCGCTCCGTGAAGGTCTCGTGTGCTTGACACCCTCAATTTGATCCTAATTAAAAAAATGTCTGTGGTGAGGGAGCAATAGGAGCGGGTGGAGCGCTCGCCTTGCACTCGGCCTGGACCGGCCTGGGTTTGATCTCTAGCATCACAGATGGTCACCACCCATGCTGCCCAGGAGTAAGCCCTGGGCACCGCTGGGTGTGGCACAAAAACAAACAAGTCGGCTAGACAGTCAGCGGCAGCTCCTCACCCTTCCACCAGCCTCACCCTTCCCAAGCCCCACAGACCCAAGCCCGGTGCGTGCGCGCCCTCACACACACGCACACGCACGCACACGCACACGCACGCACGCGCGCGCACGCACGGCCGCATGCTCCTTACCGACAGCGGGGAATGGCACGAATCTTTGCACGAGCAGGCGGGTGGCAGGCGTGAATTTGTTGGCTTTCTGTACCAGGACATTAAGGCCCACCTTGGAAAGAAGGGAAAAGGGTGTGATGCTGTAGCAGCCCGGAGGAGGAGACAGAAAAGGGTGGCAGAGGGGGCAGCGTCTTCCCCTCAACCGCAGACCCCAAAGCCTCAGGGTCGCCTCCTGTTACCCAGATCCAGGGTGGCTATTTTGTGCGCCACTGCCCTGGTGCTCCAGTTACTGAGAGCATGAGGGGGAAAGCCCCAACTACGCACATACCTACACACTCACACCCACCCCATGCACATTTTCATGCCCCTCACCCCTCTCACAGACACACACACTCCCCCTATATATACATACACACTCACACACTCACACCCTCACGCACACTTTCTCATGCCCCTGCACCCTCTCACAAACACACACACTCCCCCCACCCATGTACACGGTACACATTCACACACTCTCACCCCGCACGCACACATTCTCATGCCCCCGCAACCCCTCACAAACACACACACACACTCCCCCCACATACATACATACATACAGACTCTCACACTCATACACACGTTCACATTCAACTCACTCTCCCAAACTCACAAACACACACTCCCACGTGTTTACACTCTCACAAACTCACATTCTCCATACACCTTCATTCTTACACACAGTCGCACTCTCACAAATGCAGACACACACACACACACACACTCACACATAGACAGATACTGTCTCTGCAAGGAGCCTGTGGGGATGGTGGGATACTGACTGTTAGCAGAATGTAGCACTGTCTTCCCATTGTTCATTGAGTTGCTTGAGTGGGCCCAGTAAACGTCTCCATTGTGAGACTTGTTGTTACTGTGCTTGGCATATGGAATACGTCACGGGTAGCTTGCCAGGCTTTGCCATGCGGGCAAGATACTCTTGGTAGCTTGCCGGGTTCTCCGAGAGGGAGGCGGAGGAATCGAACCCGGCTCGGTCGGGCCGGCTGCGTGCAAGGCAAACGCCCTACCGCTGTGCTATTACTCTAGACCTATCAGAATGTACTATCAGAATGTACAATCTGCAAATAAAAGACACGTAGGATCCCACATTCCCAGCCAGCCTGGCAGTGCTACCTGAGACCCCGCTGTGGGCCCGACCAGGACAGGTGTCTCTTTGCAGCCCTGTCAAGGGACAATCTGCACCTTTCCACCTTCCCGCAAGTCCCAGCTCCCCTCACCCAGCCAAGGACACTGCCCCCGCACGCCCTAGCCTCTGCCGGCGGGGGGGGGGGGGGTCTCCCCACTCCAGGCCACCCCAGACTGTCCCTCCTCTTTGAGGGATGCAGGTCTAATCTGAGAAAGAAACGCATGAACCCACAAAGAAATGAGAGGAAGGAGAGACAGCAGCAGAGGCCGGGAGGGGGCTTCGAAGGGCCTGATGGTAGGAAAAGAGCCTCCACAGACACGGTGCAAGAAAAGGCAAGCTGCAGGAAGTCAGGAGAGGGACCCAAGCCTGCGTCATGGAAGGGGCGAGGCCTCTGCTCCCCCCACAGAGGCCAGAGCTAGTCCCTGCTTGGGAAACCCTGCCAGGAAGAACAGTGGGAGCCACTGCAGGGTCCTGGCTCTGGGGGCCTCAGGAGGGGGATCACACCCCTCTCAGCACTGTGACACCTGGCAGCCCAGCGGGACCTCCCGTGCCCGTCGTCCTGGCGCTGGCCTCAGCCTTCTGGGTTGCTGGGGAAGCTGCGGGGTCCCGGGAAGCCCTCCAGGGCCATCGCGTGCTGCAGCAGGCATTGGGGAGCAGGCATTGGCGGGACCGGCTTTGAGAGCTGGGGAGACGGGCCGTGCCCCATCTCCATGGCACTAGCCCGTTCCTCACTCCGTCCCCTTAGAATCACACCACGGTCCCAGCTGCTCCCTCCAGGGTGGGCTGGGGGGCTTGAGACGTGGCATCCCCAACTCTCAGTGCAAACAATTTTTTTCTATTGCGTGTCTCAGAAATGGCTCCCCCTCTCCCCGCAAAATAGAACAAGTTCGTACTGAGTGCAGAGAAGGGCCTTGGGGTGGGGGGAGTCAAGGACTCTGCGGGTGGGCTACGGGCCAGGCCCTGTGAACCCCCAGGACAGGGCTGCTGGAGAGGGCAGGATCTGGAGAAGCGACGCCAGCTTCAGAGAGGGGCAGTAACCACTCCAAGGCACACAGCCGGCCCGAGGCAGATGAGACCAGGATGGGAGTTCCAGCTCTGCTCTTTCCAAAGCTTGGTTTCTTTATTATTATTATTATTATTTCTCTTTTTGGGTTACACCCGGTGATGCACAGGGGTTGCGCCTGGCTCATACACTCAGGAATTACTCCCCGCGGTGCTCAGGGAACCATATGGGATGCTGGGAATCGAACCCAGGTCTGCTGCGTGCAAGGCAAACGCCCTACCCGCTGTGCTCTCACTCCAGCCCCAAAGCTTGGTTTCTTAGAGGCTGCGCCTTCTAAGAAAGGCTTCTATGTCCTCCACCTGGTCTTCCATCCCAGTGAGGAATGTGACATGCCTGACAGGCCACCACCAGAGGCACAGCAGGAGCTTCCTGGAGAGCCCAGAGGAGCCACAAAGGGAAGAAGGCGCGGGGGCCCGACCCACTTCTCCCCGGCAGCTAGAAATCAGGTTGGGGTTCCAAAACCCCCACATCCACCTGGCCGGATGCAGAGAGGTGGAATAGTGGAGGGCAAGAACTCTTGGAGAAACCAGCCACAGAGCTGCTCAGAGCTATCCCCCTGACTCAGGCAGCCTCCTGGGGGCCAAGGAGGGAGAGAAAGTGAGGATGAGGAGCCCCCAAGTTTTCCCCCGCCCTCAAGCCCCTCTCTCCTCTGTGGCAGACTTCCCTCTGCCAAGGACAGGCACAGCCCCGAGAGCGGGGACAGGCTGGATCCCCGCTCCCGGAGGTGGGGCAGAAGGCCTTGGCCTCTGGTCTCTTCCAGCCTGGTCTTTCCTGAGGCCTCCCAGCAGGGTTGGGGTGGGCTTGCAGGGGGGGCGCACCCTCAGGTTCCCAGGTGCATGCAGAGGTCAGGGGAGGCGCACAGACGGTGCATGGATGGCTGTGAGCACACCGGGTGCAGCGAGGTGACCCCCTCTAGCACCCATTGGGGTTGAGAGCAGTGACTGAGTGACGGTGCGTGGGTGACCGTGAAGGTGCCAATAGCAACCAGCCCCGGGGTGCTCACCCCCACCCCTCCCTCAGCCTCCAGTCCAGGCCTTCCGGTCCCGGCACAGGGGGCCCACAGGCTGGGAAGGAACCCGGGGTGGGCTGCAGACCAGGGCTGTGAGCCCGTCTGTTCTGGTTCCTCGGAGCCCTTTGGCCTGGAACATTTGGTGGAGCCCATTAAAATTAAAAAGCCAAGTGGCTGGTGGCTCTGAGCGCCAGCTCGTTTTCCCTGGCATGGTGGGTCCTGTTTAAAGGAACCAGCTGGCATTAATGGCACACAACTCATCACAAACAGCAGCTAGCGATCACAAAAATCTGAGCTAATAATCGGGTTCAGGAGAGATAATGAGAGATGGAACCAGAGCCGCGGAGGGTCCCCCAGGGTCTGTTTTAACAGCCTCCAAATAAGCCACAGAGTAGAAATTAACCAAACAGGGGCTCCATGTTGGCAGAGGAGAAAACAAACAGGGTGTGGGTTTTGCAGGAGAGCTCCCCGTGTGGTAGCAGACGGGGGTTCTGGTCAGAAACCAGGCCCAGCACCCTGGGGACATGTACACTGGAAGTGGGTGACCTTCTCTGGCCACTTTGCCCTCCACTCCACTGCCGGGCCAGTGACTCCAGCAAGGGCAGCTGGCAGTGGGCAGGAGCTGGCCGCAGGGCGGAGGGTGCAGGGTGGGGGGTGTCTGTGACACACACCCACCATGCCTGAGTGCCGCAGCCGTGGTGACACTATCTCCATCAGCATCGAGTATCCCCCCGGGGTCTCCCAGCCCAGCCTAGACCTCCGGTGCCCTGCAGGGGCCAGTTTCCTGGGCTCAGGGTGCTCCACAAACAACAAACCAGCTCCTCGGCCCTCCTCCCACCCTGCCCTTCACTCCCATTCCCAGCTTCACAACTCAAGCCGGAAGCGCAGGGGCCAGGCTTCTTAGACACCCATGCTCTTTATCCTCCCTCCTGGATGGTCTTTCTTTTTTTTGGGGGGGGGAAGATGGGGGGTGGGGCAGGGAGTCAGAGGAGGGGCTCGGACCACACCTGGTGGTACTCACTGATCACTCCTGCCAGTGCCCGGGGAACTTCTTGCATGTCCAAGATGGAACCTGGGTTGGCTGTGCTCAAGGCAAGTGCATTTCCCACTGTGCTGTCCCTCCCTCTCACCTCCTGATCTTGAAACAGTGACTTTTCTCCCTTCCACCACCGACACACCATCGCTTGGCCCTTGGAGGGCTGCCTATGTCCTACCTCCGCTCCCTCTTCCACGCCTGCCCCTTTCCAATCCACTCCCCACACTGCCGCCAGAGAGAAGATTAAAAATGGAGAGCAGCCCCCCAAAGCCTGGAAGGGGCTTCTCAGGGGCCGCGCGAGGCCAGGCTGGCCGACTGACTGTCAGGCCTGGCTGGTCACACTGAGACCACCCTGCTGTGTCCCTGCTCCCCAGGTGAGTCTGTTGCTCCCATCTTGCGTCCCCTCCCCCATCTCTCCTAACTCAGGGCCTTCTAGCACTTTCCCTCCCTTGGTCTCCTCACCATGCGGCTTCCATGCCAGGCTCTCACCGAGGCCCCCTCTTCATGGAGGGTCCCCCCTCGAGTTCTCTTACACGTCAATGGAGCTTCTCCCGCTCCCCACTACCGCAGTACCTACTGGAGCCTCTCAGTCTATGCTCATTTACCTCCCTTAGGTGCTGGAATTCAAAGCAAAGCATGCACATGATTTAAAGACTGAATCACACGCAAATGTTTTTGCCTGGATGCAATCATCACCTCTCCCAGTAGGCCCTCGGCACTGGGCTCGGGGCCTTATCCTGACAGGTGCATGATGAGATGAGTTGGTACTTAATACACTGTTTCTAAGTCAAGTGAGGGATTTTGAGCAGGAAAACTAA